GAGAAACTCGTAATGCAGAAAGTAGTCTGGACGTGGGTAGGATAACTAATGCCTAGCAAATTGCTGTAGCGGGGTGGAGACTGAGTATGTATCAACTGCAGAGAGCCAGTGTGGTGTAGTGGTTAAGTGCGTGGACTCTAATCTGGGAGAACCAGGTTTGATTCCCCACTCCTCCACATGCAGCTGCTGGTGTGGCCTTGGGTCAGGCACAAGTTCTCTCAGAGCTGTTCTCTCAAGGACAGTCCTCGAAGGAGCTCTCTCAGCCGCACCTACCTCACAGGGTGTCTGTTGTGGGGAGGGGAAGGGGAATGAGATTGTGAGCCACTCTGAGACTCCGAGTGAAGGGCAGGGTATGAATCCAATTTCTCCTCCTCCTCCTCCCTTTTCTTTTGAACGGTATGCTTGATGACTGGGTATGCTGTTGAATGTGTGCCGGGCTGCGGCTGAGTCAAATTTTATTTCCGGTGGGGGGGGGGGTTCTTAGAAATGTTCAGCTCTTTATTCCAAAGCTGAAGAGCCTCCTCCTTGCTGGGCTATTTCCGTAAACACATGAAACCCCACTGTTCATATTGATTAGATACTTAGGTGGTAGCAGTCTCATCAGATGTGCTGCCAGTGAAATACAAATTGTGCAGGATAATCGGGATATGTATTTTGGAGGGTTGAAATCCATTGTATTCTCCTCTAGTGGCGCAGAGACGACTGTGTTTGCAGGGAAGGAGAAAAGGCACTAAAAAAAAATTCAGGAATGTTCCACATTCCCATTTTCCTCGCTTGTAATTCCTGTTTCTTTGGAGGGGGGTGTTGTTCTGTACATGTTTTGCTCCCTCTAGTGGTTGATTCAATGTCACACAGGTTAATTTCCAGCATGAAAACCTGCGGTTTAAATCTGCCGGGAGGTGGGAGCTATGCTGGAAATAAACCTGTGTAATATCGAATCGGCCACTAGAGGGAGCAAAGCAGATGCAGAAACGGGGTGTTTATGTGAGGGGGAGACCCGAAGAAACAGGAAGTTACAATCGAGAAAAATGAAAATGCAGAAAAGCCCCTTGAGTGGAAGAACAACATGAGTGCCATAGAAGTATTTTCCACTGGAATCACCCAAAAAAGACTCTTAAAACTGATCTGCAAAAGGATCTCCATAGTTTGCGGCTAGATACCGTTTCTCCTCTTGGGTAATGTGCAACAGAATCGAGTGAAGTCTGGAGGGTAGGTTACCGGAGTGGGGGCAACTTCCAGCAATCCCCCCTCCCCCTGCAGACCACGGAGTGCCCCTGCTGCTGTGGGGCAGAGTCTCTCAGGATCACCTCCGTTCTGTTGGTGGAAGTGCCGTCCAGTCATGGGCATTTTTAGCCCGGAGGCTCCAAGCCTTTTCTCAGGATCAGCTCCGTTCAGTGCCTTCCAGTCGTGGGCAGTTTTAGCCTGGAGGCTCCAAGCCAGGTTGGGCAATTATGTTTGACAAACGGGGTCTCACAGCCAGGTTTGGTTCTCCAAGGTAGGGTGGGGGACTCCTCGATGAGGCCCAAATGCCTACTAAGGAAATGCTCGACTCGTTGTGGGCCCTGTTCTTGGGCCGAGTTGGTGTGGCCCAAGAATTCAACCTCTGTGTAAGAAACGGCTGGTTCTGACATACTCTCAAATCATGGAAGAGTCCAGAAGCACCTTAAGGACTTGTGGCAGGGGAGGAGCTTTCGTGAGTCACCGCTCACTTCTTCAGATACCGAGGTAGAAAGGAGCAAGAGTCCAGTAGCACCTTCAAGACTAAAAAACTGGTGGCAGGAGATGAGCTTTTGTGGGTCACCACTCACTTCTTCAGACACTGAGGTAGAAACGAGCAAGGGTCCAGTAGCACCTTCAAAATTGGTGGCAGGGGAGGAGCTTTCGTGAGTCACTGCTCACTTCTTCAGATACCGAGGTAAAAAAGAGCCAAGAGGCCAGTGGCACCTTAAAGACTAACAAAATTGGTGGCAGGGGAGGAGCTTTTGTGAGTCACTGCTCACTTCTTCAGATACCGAGGTAAAAAAGAGCAAGAGGCCAGTGGCACCTTCAAGACTAACAAAATTGGTGGCAGGGGAGGAGCTTTTGTGAGCCACTGCTCACTTCTTCAGATACCGAGGTAAAAAAGAGCAAGAGGCCAGTGGCACCTTCAAGACTAACAAAATTGGTGGCAGGGGAGGAGCTTTCGTGAGCCACTGCTCACTTCTTCAGATACTGAGGTAAAAAAGAGCGAGAGGCCAGTGGCACCTTCAAGACTAACAAAATTGGTGGCAGGGGAGGAGCTTTCGTGAGCCACTGCTCACTTCTTCAGATACTGAGGTAAAAAAGAGCGAGAGGCCAGTGGCACCTTCAAGACTAACAAAATTGGTGGCAGGGGAGGAGCTTTCGTGAGCCACTGCTCACTTCTTCAAATACTGAGGTAAAAAAGAGCAAGATGCCAGTGGCACCTTCAAGACTAACAAAATTGGTGGCAGGGGATGAACTTTTGTGAGCCACTGCTCTCATGAAAGAGCAAGAGGCCAGTGGCACCTTAAAGACTAACAAAATTGGTGGCAGAGGACGAAGTTTCGTAAGTCACAGCTCACGTCTTCAGATACTGAGGTAGAACCTTAAAGACGAAGAAAACTGGAGGCAGGGTATGAGCTTTTGTGAGTCACTGCTCACTTCTTCAGATAACAAAGAGCAAGGGTCCAGTAGCACCTTCAAGACAAAATTGGTGGTGGGGAGGAGCTCTTTTGAGTCACGGCTCACTTACTCTGGACAGCCGCTGACAGTCCGAGAAGCCGAGACTGACCTTTGCAGACCAAGCCTTTGAACTGGTCTAAGTCAGCTTCATCGCATCTTGTCTTTTTTGATTCCAAGCCCGAAGGCAAGCAAGTAGGGCTGCCAAACTCCAGGGGAGGCCTGGAGATCTGGAATTGCCATTCATCTCCAGACAACAGTGATCAGTTCCATGGGAGAAAATGTCTTTGTCAGAGGGCAAACTCTATGGAACACCGTAGATTCTGGGCAAAATCCTTCTCCAAACTTCCCTCCTACCTCCAGGACGTTCCCAACCCAGAGCTTGCAACCCGAGGTCTTTGGCTCCAGAGAGAGTATTGGAAAAAGTGAAATATAAGCAACACAAGCAAATAGATCGAGCCCCTGCGCAGTGAGCCACCGTGAAAGGGGGGCTGGTTGGTTTTTGAATTATGGGCTAGTGAAAGGTCGAGAAGTTGTGTTCAGCGAGGGTAGTAAAACATCCTCTTTTCCCTATCTTTTGCTTCCTGCTATAGTCCCTAGGAATCAAGCATCATTGGTCACGCAGCCCCTCCTGGTGAACACATCGTGAAACTGCATGTCTGTGTTGGGAGAAGAAGAAGAGATTGGATTTATACCCTGCCCTTTACTCAGTGTCTCAGAGCGGCTTACAGTCTCCTTTCCCCACCCCACAATTTCCCCTTCCCCTCCCCACAACAGATACCCTGCTCGTGAGAGGACAGCCCTGAGAGAACTTGTGACTGACCCACGCTCCCCCAGCTGGCTGCATGTGGAGAAGTTGGGGAATCAAACCCGGTTCTCCCGGATTAGAGTCCACGCTCCTAACCACGACACCCAAGGGGCCTCTGCAAACTTTGGGGCTTGCCGAAGCTCATTTATAGCTCCCTCCTTTGTTTTTCCTTGGAAGTCAGTTCCGCAGTCTGTTCTTGTCAGTTCTCGGAAGCTAAGCAAGGTCGGCCCTGGTCGGTGCTTGGACGGGAGGCCACCGAGGGAGTCCAGGGTTGCTACACAGAGGCAGGGCGTGGCAAAACCGCCTCTGAAGGTCTCTCATCTTGAAAACCCTACAGGGTTGCTGTAAGTCAGTTGTAGCTTTACGGCACCAGGAAGTCCAGCCCGCCAACAGCCCCACCATGCCTATCGGCCGGGTCTCCCAGACCTGCTAACCAACTGCTACCTGCTACCTGCTAACCAACTCACCGGTGCACCTATTCACGACATATTGCTGGCAATGTCTTTAAGAGGTTCCCTCCACAAACCCGGCTTATTTTCCGCCGGAGGCTCTTGGGTGTGTAGTTTTTCTAGCAATAAAAGCCTTCCAAGGAGGCTTTTGCTAGTAATTAATAAGCCCATTCATACTGCCAGTTAATCCTTTTACGACTCCAGGGAAAGGGTTGTGGTTTTTTTTAAACAGCAGAACCCGTTTGCCTCCTGCCGATGCCAAAAAACGGTGCCATCCTTCCGGGAAAGGATATGCTCGCACCCAAATCTACACCTGACACTGAGAGCGCTTGGCAGCCTTTCTCTCTTGGCTGGCGGGCAGAACAGAAAGGCCAGGGGTGGTTCACGATATTTTGTCCTCCCAAGCAGGGACTCCGTGTCTTGGACTGGCTGGTGGCAGCACGGAACCAAGCGGGGGGGTGCTGGGTACCTCCTGGGTCACTGACTGGCCCGTCGCTACAGCGTGGCTTTTTGGGGCACGCGCATGGGCCCCCGCTTCTTCTTTAAAGCATTGAAAGGGATCCTTTAAATGCTTTTGAGAAGAAGTGTGGGATGGTGAGCCCCCCTCTCTCTCCCTCAAGATTTAAAGGCAAGAAATTGCAAGTAGATAAATAGGGACCGCTTCGGTGGGAAGGTAACAACGTTCTGTGCGCCCTCGGCGTTTAGTCAGGCCGGCCACATGACCACGGAGAAGTCTTCGGACAGCGCTGGCTCTTCGGCTTGGAAACGGAGATGAGCACTGCCCCCTAGAGTCAGATTCGACTGGCTTTCGAGCAAGGGAGACCTTTACCTTTACCAGCTGATCAGCTGGCCATGTGCTCCCTGCTGATCAGCTGAATGGCCCTTTAAATCTTGCAGGAGGGGAGGGAGAGAGGGTGGCCGCCAGCAGTCGGCTTTGGGGGCAGATTGGAGCTGACGTAAAAATTAATGGCAGCCCCACCCCACACAGAATCCTGGCTCAGGGCCTGGCCACCGTGATCTCCTTTCGCAAGCACTTAGGCTTGGAACAGAAAGGCTGTTCTCACTTGGCTTGTATTCGATTTCGAAGTCGGAGGGAAGCCGCGCGGGAAGTCCGATCGTCAGCTGCCTTTCAGCACAGCAAAAGCCTTGCAACGCACGGCCGATTTCAGCCTCTGTGTCAAGTGCCGCCATGTCATACGCAGCCTGATCCCGTCAGTAGCAAGGGATTTCTGCATCTCATTGACTCCTTCCGCTGGACTGCTGGGCCGTGATTGGAATACGTCAATGAGGGAACACCGTACTGCAGAGACCGGGAAAACAAAATACACTGTGAAAAAGCGATGCCTAACAATTATCTATAAACAAAGACTTCTGAAAGCCGGTTTGTCTGATAATGATTTCAGAGTTAAATACGATATCGATAGAAGGGAGCTTTAAAAAGTGAAACTTTGAATGTATGTGTACAACACGTCTTCTGAAATGAATCTTAAACATATATGTTCCCTCTAAGCTGTGGCGTCTTGTGAGCAAAGATTCTACTTTGAGAGCGACTGGCATTAAAGTTGTGAGCGAGCGATTTGGCCGCTGCATCAATTAGTTTGCTCTGGAGCCATCCTTCCTGAGCGAAGGCAAAAATGTGTGAGCCGGAGGCTAAAAATCTGTGAGCTAGCCAGGGGTCATTTCCTGCAGGAGCGCAACTCCGGCAGTAAAGAGCCCACGGGCGGGCACATGCAACAACCCCTGCTCCCAGCAGCCCTCAGTCAGAGCAAGAAGCAGCCAGGTAAGTTGCAGAGCTCCCCCTGGTCCAAAGGAGTCCAGTGGCACCTTTAAGACCAAGTTTTATTCAGGTACAAGCTCTCCCTCCTCTGCGAGGACAGATCTGCACGTCCCCCCCCCTATAGCTAGCAATCCAAAACAGCCCAGTGGCACCTTTAAGGCCAAGTTTTATTCAGGTACAAGCTCTCCCTCCTCTGTGAGGACAGATCTGCACGTCCCCACCCCCCAATAGCTTGCAACCTAGAACAGTCCAGTGGAGCCTGAGCGGGGGGTGTTGCCTTCTGACACACTTCCGGTGATGTCAGGGGGCGTGGCCTATGCAAATGAGTTATGCTAATGAGTTATGCTAATGAGCTCCTGCACCTCTTTCTCTACGAAATGGCCCCTGCCTACAGGTGCAGCAATAGCGATAGCTCGCAGTCCCTAGCCTTTTGCCACATGCAGCTTTTCTGAGCGTTTCATCCCAGCCCAGTTCTATTTCCCTGTGCACAAAGCCCTCTTTGGTCATTCTAGAATGGAAGGTGGAGGGAAGGTTCATAAACCAACAGTTGCCGGTGGCAGTTTAGAATGTCTCTTTGCAAGGAGAAAACTGCACACAGAAGTCTCTTTGCGAGGAGAAAAACTAGCACAGAGCTTTTCGTGAGCGTTCAAAAAACAGGGCGAGGGAGTCTGTAGTGGTACGGTCTGAAGCCGGTAGAGGCCAGCAAGAAGACCACCCTCCTTACCCCTTGGGCCAAAGGAGAACCTGACGGGATCCAAACCGCAGGGAGAAGGTACGTTAAAAAGAGAGAGAGAGAGAGAAACTACATGTAATAAAATGTAAATGAATGAATACGAAGTAGGTCAAGGGCCAGGGAAAAATTCTAAAAATCTGTTTTGTTGAGAATTCGACGGATAATTTCACTGGATATTTTAAGGAAGCCGGTCTCCAGGGCCAGATCGGACATAAATGTCACTTTGTCGGGCCGGGCCGTTTGTGCCCTAAAACGTGATGCCAGGCACCGGAGATATAAATTCTATAAA